TATGCTAATTTCTACAAGCCATTTTAGGAGGCGGGGGGGGGGTCTCCTTTTGTTCGCATTATGCTATTAGATATTAATTTGACAAATTACGTGAATCCATTGAACATTTTGAGTTTTAACAATTTTATGTGCGTTTTAATGAGTGTTGAAAGTGTGTGGGGTGTCTAAACATGTGTTCTTTGAAAATTGTGGATTTTTTTGAATCTGAATCCATCTGAAGTGGATTTGACATTTCTCATTAGTTTGAGACATCTTAACTGGGGTGTATTACATATACGTGCCCCTCGTGGCTCTTTAGCAATGTTCAAAAGCGCTCCAATCAATCAGAAATTTTAAATGCCCGCCTGCTGTTTTTTTTTTTTTTCCGCTTAACCTCGGAAGCCTTTTGCACATCTAAAGTCTCGGATAGTTGGAGAAATCTCGTGAAGCTTTTTACTCATGTATCTCGACTTTGGGCGTGTAGCAAAACTTGGAAAATGCCAGTAGTTTTTAGAGAGGATAAAGAATATCTGCATGTGACTCTTGTTACACTATCATCTCAAGACACCACTGTACACTTAAAGCAGTTTTTGAGGATTTTGCCATTACATGGTGTTTTCTAAGGACGACACTGAGAAGTAATTGGATGTGAGTCATTCTAGGCTTGTTCCAACAACAAATGGGGTCCTGGGAAATGCCAGGATCACGGACAAGTTACTGTAATGTCACCCCTTGCAACGCATTACCCAGGATACGGTATTCCGTCTATGTTGCACAACCCCTTTGTTGGCTTTCCCCGAAGAGAAGGCGGCTTCTTTGTTTCAGACGGTTTCTTCATGTTCGGGCTGGCACGCGCGAGGAAGAAAACCAAATCTCAGCCGCTATTCAGGTGACGTTGACAGCAAGAATGTCACTGCTGAGGATGTTTACTCTGCACAGTCCTTAAATGTCCTTAGTTCTCTGTTCATAAACTCGACTTCCTTCCCTTGGCAATGCTCTTTTTATTGAGGGGAAATAAAATATTCCCCGTGCCACTTTTTTGTTGTCCTTCATGTTGCCTTCATTCTGTTTTCATTTTTTGTTTTTTTTTATCCTGTCACAAACTAACTTCTGACAGCCTTTGTCACCGAGCACTTTGGAGTTGTGCCAGCAACCCAGAATAGTAACGAAGGTCTATTGAGTTGTTGTGTACAAATAGGAAGGCCAAGTTCCACGCCTGTCCCATCATCCTAATGAGGATGATAATAAGGGGTCACCTGTCCCAAGGGGACGTCCAAATATGGCACCTGAAGCTAACCGTCCAACTTCTGCCGCTCCTTTTTTCAGGTTGTGTTGACCTTCCATGTCATGACCTCATTTTTAATCCCGTCATGGACTAACCACCTCACATTCTAATCAGACACTTAACTAAATTTTGTTAATTTGACTAGTTTTCAGAATCCAATGGAGTGGGATTGTTAGTTCGTTTTTTTTGTATGTTTTTTTTAAACATTTTGTGTGTTTCTTGGGTGCAAGATTTTTTTTAAAAAAATCACGTGTTGTCTGATAAAAACTCAACGAAAGATTTCTAAAAACAACCATCCAGTGACTTTGAGGTACAATACGTGCAGTGTACAATAATATTTCTAAAGTTAGATGCATCACAACTCTTGCTAAGTTGCCAACTTCTAAAGTGGATTTTGTGGCTTGAATTCCGAACACTAAAAGCCACTTTGAGAAAAAAAAATAAGAGTAATTTTCAAAAATCCCTACATGGAAAGTTTCCAACTTGAATTATTTCCAAAGTTCTCCATTTTAACTTCCCGTGGAAATGAACCGGAAATTTTGCAATTTTCCTTCCGACACCTCGAGTGGAGAAGAGAGGCTCGCCAAATAGCGCAGCCGTTACGTACTGACTGAATGTTGGCGAACCTTTGACGCCAACTGGAGGAATATGCATATGATTTTTCACAGCACTGCAGCATCAGCTCAGCCTGCGCATGAAATATTCATACATGTGGGTGTACGAGTGCAGCTTACATCAGTCATTTTTTTCACAGGCGACGCCTCAAATTTGCCTGTAACATGTTGACACCGGCTGTGGGTTTAATGGTTGTTGTTTTTGTGCTTTAGAAAAAGCAACATCTTACTTCAAGATTTGGTATGTGGTCAGAGGGTACTTCCAACAAAGAGCACAACTATGTTTTAAAAAATACATCACTTTGAGGGGTTGCTACATGTAATTATGCTACTGGTTATGCTCAGATATGAACCACCCAGTGCAATAAATAAGGGGCTTGAAAACATATATGGAAAAAAAGGAGCAAAGGGCCACATCTGATATCAGACCAAAAAGTGGGGGGTTAATGGGGGGAGTACAGTATAGCGTACTGTACATATGGAGTAATTTAATTCTGTAAACTGGAAGCCATTTTGCATTGCCATATGCGTTAACCAGGAAATGAACAAATTGGCTTCGTCTCACTTGGTGGCTTAGTTATTGTGGGAGCGACTGCTCCAAAACAATTGAACTTAGGTGCAAACGTTTCTGTATGGCATCATTTGTCTCGTCCCGTTTTTTTTTTCAAAGAGTGGGACGGCATCAGAGTGATTTGTCGCTGTTTATACCGGATGGACAGCTAGCTCGCTAACTAGCTTGCTGGGGGAGGAGCTTCAATTGGACAAGTTGGTTCGACCCGGAAGCAAGTGACGACCGCCAAATCTTGGACAAAAAAAACACTTTCCTGCTCCTGTTGGTGATGTCACCTAAGTACTTAATACCGGTAATACTGCATTTAATTTACTTTAACTAGCGCTTCTGAAGGTACTTTACACAACAACAAAGCAATAATGAGTAAAAATAGTGGCAAGAAAATTGTCAGTGCTTGGAGGTAAACTAGAAACACTTGTTAGTGTACCTAAGTAGATTTATTCAGGTAGCTGTACAGTACTTTTCTTGATTATTTAATTTTCTGAGGTTCGTCTTTTACAGTAGCCTTGCATTTCTTGACAGTAAGGGGGTGAGAACAAACATTTATATTGCAGATTTCACGCATTGTGGCGAGGTCTGGACCACATCCCCGACGAAGAACCGATCACTGTACTTCAAGCAGTACAAATTGAGCGAAACGTCACTTGGATTAAGTTGGAGATGACTTTCTTCGGAGCTGCGTTCAGGAAAAAAAAACAAAACATATTTGACGTCCTTCGGTGGTTGTGGAAAAGCCCTTCAGGAAGCAGGTTGGTGGAATTCCCTATTCTTCCGAGGCCCAAGCAACCCATTGCCACCAATCAATTTCAAGGGTTATCGCAAGTAGACATCGTAAATTGCATTTGGCACCGTGATGTGATGATCTGATAATTCCTTTTTATTGTGGCGACAAACAGTTGGTCGACTATTAGTCACAGTTTTTGTCTATTAGTCACAGCTTTTGTCTCGAGGCGCCGGGTCGTTTGACACTTTCAATTAATTCACTTGACGTCTCGCTCGTGTGCCGTTTAACAATGTATTAACGGCTTGTATGTGCTTTGTTTGAGGCGTTACAGCATTCTGGTTGATCACGAATTAAGCCGCATTTTGGAATATTTACAGACTTGACGCCGATGGGGAAATGTTCACCTTTATGACAACACAAATGCCACTGAAAGTCAGACATGCACAAGTTCCATGTCAGGCCAGGCCACTCGACCAGTTGTTGAAAATTTGTAAACAAAAACAACATAAAAGTCACTCTCGTTTTCAGGAGCTATTCTCTGCCCTTCATGTCTGTGTAAAACAAAACAAAAAACAAACAAAAATCTTGACGGTGCTTAATGTCAGAATAGTGCTATAAATCGTCACCAAACTTCACATGCACATCTATGCCTGTGCCCACTTAAATCTCTGAAAATATAAAAACAATCACCACAGTATTTGAGATTTTATGAGCATTAAGCCCTTTCCTCCCCATAAATGTTTACTCTCCAGAAAAATCTCAACGTGGTTTAATGTTAGAAAATGACCAGTCTTCACCAAACTTCACATGCACCCATCTACCTTTGCCCACCCCAATCTCAGAACACAGCCTAACAAAACTATTGCCTTAATATTTTTGGATTTTATGGACATTGAGCGTTTTGCGACCTTAAGCTGTAGTGAGCACCAATGGAGAGGTAAATGTTAATGTCCATAAAATCCAAAATATTAGTGCGATTGTTCTAATATTTTCAGAGATTGATGTGGGTATAGTTGGAGATGTCCACATTGATTTTAGTAAATATTGTTAGCAGTTTTCTTGCATCAGATGATGTTAGGTGTTTTTTTAATGGGGTGGAAAACACATAATTCCCACAAAATCCAAAATATTGGCACAGTTGTTTTGATATTTTCAAAAATGAATATGGGCATGTGCACATGATGTTTAGTGGTGATTGGTTGTAGTTTTCTAACAGTGAGGTATTTTTAGATGTTTCTCTGTAGTGAACGTCTATGGGGAGAAAAAAGGCCAAACGCCAATAAAATCCCAAATATGGTGGCAATTGTTTTGATATTTTTACCGGTTGAAGTGGACATAAGTAGAAATGTGCATGTGAATTTTGATAAAATTGTGACCTGACCAAAATGTTTGTTTTTCAGGATTCATAACGTCTTGTTGTGTTATAAACAAACAACAATGACAAAAAATAAATAAAAATAGCCAAAATAACAACAATGCTTGCACAGACGTGAACGCTAATGAAGCTATGGAAAAGTCATAGAATTCAGCATTCAACCAATTAGCCCATCAATTAATTGACTAATCGGATAAAAATGATTTTTTTCATCATGAACTACAATATCGTGCATGTGAGGTGCCATGCTCATGTTATACTGTTGAATCTGTGACTGAGTCGGTATGGGATGAAAAGGTGGGCCAGGCCTGGTGAGTGACGTGGTTGTCAGGGAATGAGACAATGCCTTCCTCTCCTTCCACTTTGCTTTTTTTGTGATTGTCAAACAAGGAGTGTGCTTCTGAATGTGCTAGTGTCAAACCGGTAACAAAAAGAAAGAAGAAAGAAAGAAGGCAAATACCACTCATTTACTGCAAAACTTCCACATGGATGTAATAAAATGCTCACCCAGATTGTTGCAAACGTCACTTCTTTTTTTTTTTCCCTCCATAATTTATTGTAACCTGAAAGGAAAAATAATTTCTACAAAAAATATTCAAATAATGCCATATATTATTCATTCTCGCTCTGGTTGACACTTCTTCCCGTATACTGTGCGAAGATTAAGTCTGGCTAAAGTGTGGTGGCAATCACTCATTCTCACAGCAACCGTAATACTGTGACTAAATCTATCTGCCGTAACCCGTTGGCTATGATATAATATCATAATATATGTAGAATCTCAGCGAACAGTTAAGTGGGCACATTAGATACATGGACTTAAGATATGGTTGGAACACAAAATGCAGCAGAAAGAGTACAAGTCTGTGGTTTTTTTTTTTTGTGTTTTGTTCTTGGCAAAAAATGAAGCCTGGTTCTCGTGGTGGACCGCGCTGGTCTCGGCTTGCCTCTTCGCAAGCCCCCCTAAAAAACAAACAAAAACCTCGCGTTGACAGCCATTCCATTTTCAAGTGAAATAGTGATGATTTAGGTGATTCTGCTATTTTTTTTTTTTGGTTTAATGCACATTGCTCCTGCTCAGGAATAAAGGGAACAGTGGTTGGTATGATTATATGCAATATATATTATTCTTTTTTTTTTTTCCACCTGTGTCTCTTTTGCTTTCGTTTTTTTCATTGTCATGTTTTTGTCCATCGGGCACCTGAGCACACACACTCCATCAGTCCTGTGAGGTGTGTCTTAGTGGGCTTGTGTGTCCTTGTGAGTGTGTGTGCGTGTGTTTAGTGAGTGCTGCGGTCACACATACTCGTGTACACGCAATTCACCAAAAAGTTCCGCTTTGGTGAAATTTCAGAATGAACCTAAAATGCAATTGAACCTTCACAGCTGAACTTATTTTGACCCGAGCTGACCCAAGTTATGACCGACGGTATACAGTCATGACATAATTTAATATTTAAAGAACGAAACATTTTTTGACACATTTTTTTTGGTTCATTTCACTGGACACTGTGGTGTATGCACCATGACCACTTGGGTGCAGTATAATACAGAAAAACATATATTCATGAAGATGCTCACAATTGCTTGGTAAGCTGTAAAAGTATGAGTTATTCGTAGAGGATAAAGAATTTATGCGTGCAAGTATTGTTATGTCATCTGTTGATATGTTGCGTCACTGTTTGCTTCAAGTATTTGTTGCTAAAAGAATTATCATGGCGTGACTGATGCTATTTGTGAGCCCATCAATGGGCATTTCATTACGTGTTAGCATTAAGCTAAATTGCCTCTTTTGGTACTTTTTTTCTTTTACTTTGTTGCTATTTAGTGTCTCACTGACTGTCGTGCTGCATTACTTCAAACATTGGCTGTTCTTGTAGTGCAATTCTTTTTTTTTTTAAATTACAATGATGGTAATGCTATTATAATACTCTGTGCATTTTTCTGCAACTCTTGCAGCCTTTCTGGATCACTTTTGCAACCTGCAGATGACACACTCTGACACTCTAAGCCAGGAGTGTCAAACCAAACTTATTGCAGTTATGGTCATTTTAGAGAAGGTCAAACTAAGTCACCTCTAAAGTTTCTTGTGCATTTTAGGTTTGTCCTGAATTTCCACCCTGAATCCAAATATCTCAAACTTTTCAATAGTGGTGTATAGACAATCGTGGGTTGTGTGCAGGCGGCGGCTCAGTGGGGCGGCGGCATGGCGAGCAGGCAGGCGAGCAGAGTGCAAAGCAGCAAGGCGGTGGTGGAGGGCTGCCACGCGGTGGCGCCGTTGCAGTCCTTGCCCGCCTCGCAGCGCGACTGTTGGCACAGCACCCCCTTGAACTCGGGGGCGCAGGCGCATTTCTGGTTCTGGTAGCACGTCCCGCCGTTCTGGCACAGGAGCATCTCCTCGTCGCAAACATTAGCTGTGAGTGACAGAAAGTCGGATGCCGGTCAGGATTTTATTTCCAAGCCATATTTGTGTCTTGTAGGGTAGTATAAAAAGCGGTTTAAGCGCAGGGCTGCTTTCCTGCATGTTTTTCATTTTTCCCTCCTGCAACACATCCGATTCAAATGTTCAGGATCATTATCAGGCTCCTGCAGAGCTTTTTCTCGTGACACACTGTCATGCAAAACAGGTGCACCCAGGTGGAGGTCTAATGAGTGTTCGGGGAGGCGGGTTGAATGTGCTGCCTGTCCGCCCCGCCTCCACTCGCCGAGGAAAGCGCTTCTCTGTAATGGGGTTAAGGTCCGACAGCGCCATCAATTGAGGCAGCAGCTGACGCAGCTAATGAGCTACATGATCTATTCCCCTCGGGGCTGGACAAAGCACATGCATCGTTGCGTACTCGCTAGACCTTTTGCGTTGAGCTCAAAGGTCCCGGAAGGATGCGCCAGGAGCAGTGCTGACATTTCAGACACACAAACGCCCCTCCTGCCAGCCCCCTCTGTAAATATCACTTTGTCATAGGGACTTTGTTTGCACACACTTTGAACATGTTTCAGGTGTTCCTGCCTCTCCGTCCTCCCCTCCTCCTCTCTAACCCAGTGGTTCTCAAACTATTTACACCAAGTACCTCTTCAAAAACATACTTGGCTCTCCAAGTGCCATGTGACTTGCCAAGTGACTTGTATGTATGTATGTATGTATATGTGTGTGTGTG